TATGACCTTGCTGGTTAAAAGTCCAAGGTCAAATTCCAAAAATGGTCAAGGAGATAAAACATAACATAAAATTTTTCCTTTTCTTCAATTCCGCGGTCAAAATCTCCCACTTAAAAGAAAGTTGTTGTTCTTCAAATGATTTTGAAGGTCATGACCAAGGTCAGCTCCAAGAATATCATTCGATATCCGGGGACAAATCATGAAAATATTGTCTCGGTAGTTTCCCTAAACGACTACTGGCTTCCAAGTTATATCACCGTACTTGGGTTTGATCTCAACCAAGACCTTCTACCGTCACAATTCAAGAATATTCAAAATCATATTGGAACGTAAAATTTTGCGCTTTTTCCATTTGAAAATTTAAAAACCGACTTGACTTTCAAATGACCTTGAATATCATGGTTAAGGTCAAATCCAAGGTAACCATGGGATAGCTGGGGGAATACTTCTATCAATCGAGGAAGTTAGTTTTTTCCTACCACTAAATTTTCGTGGGGTTCCTTAACTTTTCAGACAGCCTGCATATACTGCATACGAGTATACTGAAAGGGTTAGTGTCTGCAGATGGCTCTGTAATCACCTGTATGTTCGTGTATGCTTATAAAGGTAGCGCCATCCATGAGACACTATCCTTTTCAAAGTGTAACGAAAACGCAGTTCTTATGTTACTTCCCACGCCTACTGGCGAAGATATGTTGTTTTTTGATGTTATATGATATCAGCTCAAATATTTTCAGTGACAAAGAAAATAGTACACCCAGTAAAAATAGCTTTGATCGAATGAAGTTTTATATGCAGTTAGACAAAGAGGAACCTACTGATTAATGAGCAGATTTGATCATTTAATTCTTTGTGCGACGCACGGTTTTTGCGTCAAAAAATAAAGTGTATTTCTCGACGATTTTTTTAACGAAAACCGTGTATCGAATTGAAAAAAGTCAAGCGAGCAATTTGCTTTCAACTGATTTGGGATCCCAAAAATAATTTTTATTTTGAAAAAATCAGTGACGTACCATAAATAGGCAGATGAAATTAAAGAAAATGTGGTACATTAAAAAGTGCTTCTAGATACATATTACATGTATACCTTTCTACAAAATATCTATAGTAGTATTACAGATATTAATAATAAATCATTAATTTTTTGAAACTTTACCACCCTGTATCTCTAAAAATTAAGACGTCTAAGACATACGTTCATGTGAAGTTTCCTTTTTAAAGTGGACCCAAAAATAAACCCTTTAGATATTGACATCGATTAGGAAATACCCTACCTATAGTCAACGCCAAACAAAGTGGCGTGCACGTCATCAAGGTGGGTGTGTTGAAAAATTTACATTGTTGCCAAACTTTTTGTAAAATAATAAAATTTATTATTTACATATCTAGGTTTATAAGCAATATTAACCTCAAATGAGAACAAAAATAATAGTATAATAAAATTATAGATCTGTACTTGCATAATCATTAAGTATGACAATTATTGATCAGATGACACTATGAAACTACCATATTTAATTGATAGCTTAAAGGTACTGAATAAAAATCCAAATGGGGTCCTCCAAATTTTATGCATGGTATTTATTTTACAGAATTCATACAGAAAAATGCATTCTAAAATTAGGTAAGCTACTGGTGTAAGCTTTTTCTGTACAATAAAGTTAGTCGGAGTTTCTTTCTTCAGCGCTGTCTGAATCTGAATCTTCATCACTCTCAAAGTTGATTATTAAAGGTTCGATGTCTGGTCGATCAAAAATTCGTTCTCTTTCATACCATTTAAAAATTTCTTGCTCAGTATGTCGAACACTATTTTTCCACATGTCTGGGGTAACCGTTTGTAGAGCCTCGTTCCACATATCCAAACAGTCTTTTTCACTGTTTCCATCTCTACCAATATGTCTGTTATAGTAACCTTTTGCTATGCCCCAAATTAACTCAATAGGGTTAAATATACAATGGTAAGGAGGCAGACGAAGAACTTTGTGCCCATGTTGTTCCGCCAATTCATCAATCACGTATATTTTAGGTGGTTTGTTTCTAAAAAAGCAGTTATTTTAAGAATAGGAATAAACAAAAGAAATATAAACTGTCGACCAAAATATATATAATTAAGAAGCATTATGTACCGAGCAACAATACTCAATAGCTCTGTTTTAAACATTGTGTTTAAAAATGGTATGTTTTGATTTGTCAACCAGTCTTGGATATTTTTTTTGTCCATGCATTGTTGGGCACTTTGTTCAATATCATGCTGTGATAAGGGGCGTTATTCAGTATAATCATAGATGGACTCTCCAATTTTTCTAATAACTGATGTTGAAACCATTTCAAAAAATTGTCCTGGTTCATCTCTCCATGGTAATCGCTCAATTTTGTTTTCGAAGAAAATATCGCTTCACTACCCTCAATAAACCCATTTTCATTTCCAGCATGTAATATAATGTATCTAAAATATATTAGTTTTAAATTTTATAGTGCAAATTGTGTAAAAGTACATACCTTTTACCATCTGTTTTAATAGCTTTCACGCTTTTTTGGTTTCCATTTTGCCAAGAGCGACCTATGGTCCCATTTTGAAATATCCAAGTTTCATCGAGGAAGACAAACTGGTATAAGGCCTCAACCTTGGCTTGATTGTATTGCCTTAGAAATTCCACCCTTTTCAAAGCTATACTTGGTAGTTCCATGAGCCCTCGTCGCGGATTGTCCTTAAGCCACTTAAATCCAAGATCTCTAAGCAACCGCCTTAAAGACGTGGCACTACCATCAAATAATGCCCTATCTCTTAATCGAGACCATAAAGTTTGTATCGTAACTTGTTCTTCTGAAACCATGTGTAATATGACATTATAATTTAGTTAACAAATTAATGCAAATTTCTGATAAGTTATTATAATAAGATCTTACTTTTGTGATACATATTATAGATCACTTCTCGAATGGCACTTGTATCCAATGTCGCTGTGTTGGTTACACGTTTAATATAACTCCGCTTTTTCTTGGGCGATTCTAAATTTGCATCACTTTTCACACCCTCGGAAATACGACTAACTGTCCTTAAACTAATTTTTAAATCAGCAGCAACACGCTACAAAAAATGAAATAAAATTTCACTATTATTAATATACATTACATATAATTATTAGTAACCTACCTCTTGAACAGCATTTAAAGGCAACAAAGGCCCGTTGTTGTCCCTTTCTTGCTCAAAGTAGTGCATTAACGAGGCGACGAGTTCCTTACACCGACTATTTAACTGTTTGGGCATCTTTATATACCAAAATTGCCTTTATCTACTCGTAAAATGAATAATTTTGTTTTGAAACAAACAGTTGTTGATTTACAGTATGCGGGGCCAAAGGATTTATAAAGATTTGAAATGCCACAAATTGATTCAGTGTCAAAATTAATACAAATGTCAGTTCCCAGTTTAAATAAGTTTCAAGGTGACAATGTGTCAACGCTGCGAAATCGGTTTAGTGCGTTTACATGTCGATAAGTGATTGGAGCGTTTGCAAAACATTTTATTTCGCATAATGCGTCTAAATTTATCAGAAAGCAACTTATGTGATATTTTAATAACAATGTTTATATGACTATTAACCATAATAAGAGAGTAATGACCATTTTACAATTTATATATCACATTAATATGAAACTGCAATAGAGCAATTGTTTGTGATAGAAACCTAGGCATTAGGTCGGGGAATTTTTATCGTGATGACGTGCACGCCACTTTGTTTGGCGTTGACTATATGTTCATACGAACCTTTCAAGAAATTTACTTGCTTGCAGTACAGCGAAATTTACCCAATCTTATTTATAAGGTCGGAGCACAAAATACTAGCAAGATCCGGATTATAGATTGGAATTCATAGGAATATTGTAGACGACAAGGATATTATATTCGTTTACATTTGTTCTGCTTCCTTGTGTTACCGTCCCGCCTTATAGTACGGTCATTATATGATACGGTATAAATAATAATGGAATCTGGTTCATCTGTATAAATTATACATTTGAGCAATGTGCAATTACCTAAAAAGCTCTAATAGTAAGATACAATTGGTTTGAATGTAACGAATCTAAAAAATATCATTGTTTCGCTACTGCCATAGCAACAAGTTCACATGAAGACCTGGACCGGTATTCTCGTTCTCCAAAACGCTAAGCGTTTTCCAGTAGCTCAGCGAATATGACGTCATTTGCACTTGCTTTCGACGCACTTGCCAAAATATGGTATTCCCGTTGCCCGAACGCTCAGCTTTTTGAAAAGCGCTTGTCGCTTTCAAAACGACTACCAAGTGGTCGGTGTTTTGCTTATCGCTTTCGTGATGAGTACTGACACTGCTGACAGAATTATTATTTAGATCGTGATTTTGGTTGTAATTGAGGCTACTGTGGTCCTCATATTTAGATAATTATATCCAAAGTATACCTAGTAATGGCATATCAGTTTGCTGGGGTTAATTTAATCCGGATTATTGAGCATGTCGAGAGGCAAAGATTCAATGCTGATGATCCGTTCGAATTCTCTGACTTTAATTTTGTGAAATTATATCGTCTGCGAAAACAGGACGTGCAAAATTTGGAAGAAATGTTACAGCCATTTTTACCAGTACATCCTAGATCGCACGCGATAAGTAATCGCACGAAAGTAAGTAACAATAATAATGAAGTACTTGTACTTCCAAGATTGACAAAAAATCTTATATATACGATTGATAAAATAGTGATATTTGCATTACACACACCAGATATTACGTACGTAAAGTAAACATATAGTCGAGGTGATATTAGTATAAAACACAGTTTCCAACCGACACGAATAATAGGACACAGTACAATATTTCGTTGTAATACAAGAAACGAAGATGCCGAATTATTTCGAACGTTGTAAAACCAAAGAGCTATCCAACTATGTGTGCATAACATGTAAACAAATTTTTCATCGCAGTTGCTGCAACAAACGAAATGACGTAATTGTCATTGCCAAGCATATGATATACTGTAGTACGATATGTCAAGGAAAAGGCGAAGAAGAAATGGAGAAGGATAACACCAACAAAGAAATAATAAGAGAATTACAACAAGAGGTTATAGAGAAGGATAAATATATTGCCTCTATGAAAAAACGCTCATTGGCTTTTGAGGATGATGTGATTGAAATTGAAAAAAATTACAACGACGATATCCAGACTTACAAGCGTCAAATACAGAATATAGAGCAACAACTAGCATATTTATCCTCAAAAAACAGTACATTGCAGGAACTGACAACCTCACTTCTGATGGAAGAGCCTCCTGTTGCGAATGATATTAGGGCCACAAGTTTCCAAATGAAGACAACCGATATGTGTAAAAGCCAGCCGATAGAACATGAATTCGACGAACATCAAACAGAATCGACTTTTGCCCACTGTGCATCTATCGTTTCCCCTATACCCCAGTTAGACGGCGAAGTAGCAGCAGAATCTGCAAGACAAACTCCAACAGAATTCGATGATGCACCAATAATCGATATAGTACCATCAGGTGGATCACCGACGCACAATTCAAGAGTTAACCAACACCAGAGAAAGGTATATTTTTATTTAGAATTATACATATATATGAGGAACTATCATGATGTTGTCCTACACTATGTTTCTTCAAAGCTATTCAATAAGATGATCAAAATTTGATGGTCAAGCTGTACCTATATTTTGTCTAGGTACCTGGAATTATAGGCTGGATTGATTGCTCTCACATAGGTATTGTGTGCCCAATCGAAAATGAACATATATATATCAAAAGGAAACATTACCATTATCTCAATGTGCTGATGGTAAGCTACCCTTACATCCATAAATGCATGAAATAATTTTAATTTCTCATATAAAGAAACTTTCAATGCACAAAGCGTCAACCCCTAATCAAATTTTCTCTGACTCTGCATAGATTACAACTGAAATTTTGCACCAAAGTCAACCTGCATACTTGTTTATTGCAGATACGTGATGAAAATTTGAAAATAATGAACGTAAACAGTCGCTTTCCTGGCAGCACCCATGATAGTTTTATATGGAGTCAGTCACGAGACGAGGGATTTCTGAGAACATTGTCTGAAGAATATATGGGCAGCTTCTATTTACTAGGTGAAATATGTCGCTATATGTTGTACCCTTGGATCTACTAAAAGATAGTATTCTCTATTAAGGTGACTCTGGATACCCTCTACGCCTCTGGTTGATAACCCCTTACCTACCAGAACCACCTCAAGACACTCCAGAATCAAGGTTCAGTAAAAAAATTATCCGGGTTTCTATAGAATAATGCTTTGGATTATTAAAAAACAGAGTTAGGTTTCTACTGAAAGACAGAGTTTTACATTATGCACCAGAAACTTGTGCAAAAATCGTAAACAGTTGTGCAGTTTTGCACAACTTATGCTTAGAAAACAATATTCCAGTATATAATGATCAGGAAGACGTAGGTGATGGTGACAACTTCAGTGACGCCTTGGCAGAAGAGAGGGGCAACTTGCCACATAATAATTTTTTGGAGAGTGGTCGACACATACGAAATTTCCTAGCGAGAACTTATTTTTGAAATAAATTAATGGATACATTATAGTATATTTATCTCAATAAAAGAGTAGTCTAGAACAAAGATAACTTTATTTTTAACTATACCACACATCTCATCACAACAAAACCTTATACTCTGATCATAAAAAATATATAAAATAAAAATACACACAAAAACAAACAAACAAAAGAAGCTATGATGCATATTTTTTAGCAATTGTTTCTGAACTAGAAGCAATTCTTTCTAAAACTTTTTTTTTATAATAATTTTCCTTTATTTGATTTAGTTGTAGTTGTGCTGCAACTAAATCGTTCGCGGCCTGGACTGATGAATTTGTCTGCCTACTCCTTTTAGTGCCACGTGGTGGTCTCACGCGTTTAAGGTTCTTTTCTTTAATATTACTTGGACACAGGTTTTCCTTGTCCTTGTCATCATTATCATGTACAGGAGAACTTTTGCATACAGGCACTTCGCCAACCTCAGCTTCTTTCGGTAAGGTGTATAATAATCCTAATAATTTACATTGTTTAAGTGAATAATAAATCTCATCAACACTTAAATCACAGTAGATCCATACTTTATCAATATCAAGAAAAAAACTGTCATCTAATAAAAACATTTAACGAATGACTAAAATATTAGTCACCCATATAGGAATATTATGACCATACCCATTATTTCCAAGACTTTGTCATCGATTTCATTCAGGCTCTCTGCCGAGCTTGGTCCACCTCCGGTCTGGCTAGCTTCCTTTTTGCTCTGGTTTTCATATCTGTCCAGGTCTAGAAAAGGAAAACTGGAGTATTAAAAGCCGACCCTCTTCATATACAACAAATATTCTGAGTAACAATCAAACTGACTCGATGAGTATATATTGCCGTGTTTTAACGATAGATCCTAGTATTCTAGTGAATTCGTTATTACAACAGAAGTACCATTCCTAACTATGGATGTATGTCCGTCAATAGCATATTAATTCAATACAAAGTTGCAAATATGTTACATGTACCTTTCTCCATTCAGTCCATTACTTAGTGGCCCCAGGAATTGCATTTAACTTTTCGCTCAACTTCACCCATAACTTGCGGGCGTCTGCACTGGTGTATTGGTTTGTTTGTTTTTGAGACACCAATTCCGGGTGGTCTTCCATAAAATCAATTAGCATAGTTTTTTGTAAAATGGAAATTTGTTTACGATACATTTCGAAACTCGAGTGACACTGACAAAACGCAACTGACAAGTGACAACGATCATAATGCCAGAAATAGAAACTTTTTTAGTTCTGTGGTTATATAACATTGGTGACATTGGAGACAAATATGTTGGTGACACTGGAACAAGCACCGTTGCCACTATGTGCCAAGCGTTTTGAACCCGAAGCGTTCGCACAGCAAAGTGAATACCAAAACCGAACGCTTAGCGCTTTGCCGTACGACATGAGGCGCTAAGCGTTTTGAAAACTTATCGCTTTCAAGCCAAAGAACGAGAATACCGGTCCAGAACCCCTCCACCCCCCCCACCCGAGCGCCGCGTGCAGGTGAATCCAGCGCGATGCAATAGAGCGGTACTCGGGAACTTCGAAGTTGAGTCATTTATTTTAACAGTGAGTAGATCTGATCAAAAGAAATGTTTTTTTCCTTTAACATTTTTCTGGTAAAATTAAGTTAACAAAGTTATAGCCCTTTAGAGGTTTGAGTACCGCCCTGTCTCAATAATAATATTATGTGCTCGTGTTTGGCAACAACGGATATAATCCGCCTTATCGGTTCATCGCATCGGAAACAAAAAAGCGAAAGAATTTGAAACGTTTATCACGATGTCAGTCAATGTTTCAGTCGGTAACGCGTGAGCGAATAGTGGTGTTTGTTGCGTGGCTCAAACGAAATAAAAAATGGCACATGTTTACGAAAATGCTGAACTTGTGAACTTGTGGACATGATTCTTATTTAATCGAGTGCAACCAACCCCTCGCGCCTTTGTTAATGTAGTACAAAGGGCTCGTGAATCAGGTGACTTAAGACCTCACAGGGGAGGGCATGCCGGTGCTCCAAGACCGCACGAACAAATACAGGTCCGCACTGAAATGCTTGTCGGGAGGATACTTTATAAAACAAGGTAAACATTTTTTTTTAATTTTTTTTTTTATTTTTTTTTTATTTTTACACACATATTTTGGTTTATCTTCCTTCTACAATCATTATCTGAAAATTAATGACTCAACTTCAAAGTCACCCTGTATTTTCGGTAATATGCAGACAATCGAGGTTGACGGACGACGTCTTGAATAATAATTATGTGCGATACGAATTTTTTCCGCCCTTGGGAACGATCTGCTCAGGTAGATCAGCGGCCCAAGGACATCGAAAATTGTATGTACAAAGGCGCTATGAGTGATGGAAACCCATCGTGCAGCAAATAAAGTAAAGTGCCATATCCTACAATCTGCAAAATTATTCGTAACGGTGTCAAACCAAGAAAAAGAAAAATTGATAGGGGAACATCTATACCTTTAAGTACAGCAACAACTGTAAAAGTAAGGAAAATATGATCATTATAAACGTAATGAAATTCCCACAGCAGAGATTTGATTGAAAGAGGCGAGAGTTGTTCCCTGCGGACACTTCAGAAATTTGAAACATTCACGTTACTTCAACTACTTGATTCAGTCATCTCTCATCTCATCCAGACTTGCAAGAGAAAATGTTTGAAAATTTTCAGATCCGCCTCTGCCCTCATGCCTCCGGTTCTTTGTTTTATAGCCGTTTTATGACTATCGGAAAAAAATGTAAACGAATCTAAAAGCTACTACACCTTGCCTATATTGAGCAATCAGCAACCCTGTCCCGGAGTACTGTACAAAATAAAGAGATCATTAGAGGTACATGCTTTGTTAACCGAAACCAACAAAACTACGTTACACACTCCTCTATTAATAAAAACATCATTAAATTAATTAGGTCGGCCTATTTCCTGCCCTTTCTCTCCTAATGATGGGCAGATAATTTGATTATATACGAGGACATCGTTAACTCATATTTTTTTCTATCACTACTACCAGGGGTGGGTGCGAATGAACTACGCTTTTTATTTTCCACGCCTACTGGCGATGAAGTATTGTAATCGCGAAAAATTTCGAAAATGGATGTTATTGACATGTACATCACGAAAAACATGTCACTCATGTCGATCTGACTGTCTGTCGGTCGGTGTGTCCGCAAATCCTTGGCCCGTCTAACACTTGGAAAGTATTGCTCGGATGTGGTTGAAATTTTTACACAATTTTACTACCATGATAAGAATGAACATGATTTGAAAATATTCCAAAAATCGGCCCAGTGGCGGCAAGGAGAAACGATTATAATAAAATTTTCTCAAACTTCGTTTATTGCCGTTTTAAATGTTCCTTATCATTGTCTGAAAACTTTTCGTATGAGTTGAAAATTGAGAGTTGTGGTCGTAAGCGGTAAGAAGACTCTCATTTTTTATTCGGTAATATAATTCGCTTCCAATTCCGCTAATTCTACTTACATATTAGTACATATATATCATCAATTGTATGGGCCTGTTTAGCTGACTTGATCCATTTAATTTTTTTTGTCTTATACATGCTCGTAGTTGACTTTTTTCGTATAGTAACAATCCTTTATCAGCTGATGATAGCGTTGTGTTTAAAGTGCAGAGTCAACCTACTTCACGGCATTTTTATCATTCAAACTGTAATTTATTACAACCCTTGCAACTAATTTACGACAAGTTTATGACTATGTCGACTGGACTGTCGTGTGTCCCGCTGTTGCTGACTCATCGAAGACTCTGCCTTCAGCTCTTGAATCGACGAATTCCAGAACCCTTCCAAGCAGAACTCTAGCCTACATCGAATCTTGTCAGATGGCGTTCTATGTTTCTCGAAGGGACGTGTGTAATTCTGATTTCTCGAACGAGGGTGTCTCTTTGGTGCTTAGATTTTCAGTTACAGTATATACACTACCGTTCAAAAGTATTTGAACACCTACATAAAATCATAACAAACAAAAACTATTCAGTATTTATTTTTATTTATTTATTGAAAACCATCACCAAGGAAGTCAAGCATCATTGAAAGATCATTGAAATCAAAATTTTGCTCACACTATTATTGGGATCTCGTCATTAGCCATAATAGGAATTTCTTTGCCTTTAATATATGGTTATGTTTTTGTATAGGAATTCCCCGATATTATTAAATATTTATTAAATATTTTTAAAAAATGTTAAATATTTGTAGCGAAAGCTTTTTTAATATTTAATAAAGACATTTCTTATATATTCATGAAATATTCATTATAGATATTTTTAGTATATATCATATATTTTTGCGATATTTTTTCCAAATATTTAGAAAACGTATTAGGAAAGATTTTTAAATATCAATTTCATATTTTGATGAAATATCTAATATTTTTCGTAAATATGTATGGATTTTCAAGCATCCACCTGATATATATTTTCAGTGTATATAGAAAATTCTTCATTTTTATTTTAGCAAAATCTGTGAAAATGATTTTATAAATTGGCTATATACATATATATAAAAAATAATTCTAGATATAATAGTTTAATTTGGTAGAAAAATATCATTAAAAAACAATCTAAGCTTCTTTTGTATCTTGCAAATCCACTCGTCTGAAAAAAAAACTTACTAATTATGAAGTATTATTGAATACATAAGCTGCTTTCCAGTGGTCTTTTGTTTGCGAGATATATTCTCCCAAACTACTCTGGAAAGTGAATTTATGGGAATATAAAATGCAGTGGACCAGTATTGGTGCTGAGCACTGCTGAGTTACTCCGCGTAGCTCAACTGGGTCACTGAACAACGCACCTAACAAGACCCTACATTTTCTTCCTAGTTTTTTTTAAATTTGATATGTTATTTTACATATCTTGATGAAAAATGTCCATGGGCACAATTTGATTCTTTGACTAACTTTCAAAGAAAAGGTTTTTAAAAATAGGCCACTTATTTATTTTGTTGAAAAGTATTTTCGACTGTTAAAATTTTGGAATATCACTGTTGAATTTAAAAATTTTAAAATTTAATTTGTCCCCTAATATGACAAAAATAATAATTGAGATATTTAAAAAAACATTTTTGATATATCTCGATCAAGTTTCGATTATATGTCTTTTCATCGGGATGTTTTGAATATACTTTAATAATAATCTCAAATAACTGTTATACTTCAAGGCTAGTTATTTATGGTCTTGGAAATACCTTTATACTCAACTGGCACAATAATGTTTACAAATCAGATACATTAAGCTATGTAATTATCGAACTTACTCTTTTCCCTTATCGACAAAAAATATCCATATAAGGTATCTGGGGGTTATAAGGCCCACCTAAGGGAAATGTAGGTATAAAAATAATACACATCAATAAAATGTGGAAAATATTTATTCAACCGAGTATAACAATCAGTAATAAAACATTGTAGTGTTTTAAAAAGAAAAAATAACATTAATACTTCTTTAAAAAATACTTCGAATAATTTTTGTCATTTGGGCCTTATTACCAACAGTGTTGGTAGCATGATGTACAAATTTATGGAGTACAATTTGGGCATTCGACATCTTCTTCGTCCTCAACCGTCATACCAATGCATTCTTCATGCACCCAGTTATCGCACTGAATGCATTTTCTCATATCTGCAATGAAATCCTCAGTACAGGCAACACAAAACCAACTTTCTTTAGTAGACGATTGCCTTTGGTCTTGTGATGGTGCGGCTGATTTGCAGCTACTGGAAGTTACACGTACTGGATCGGGTTGGTGTTGCACTGAATCGGTTTTTCTACTTTCAAAAACTTGTCTTGTAACTACTTGCGCTTTATAGTTTAGCGCTTTTTTTCTGGGCACTTTAGTGACTTCAGTTGTCTTGCCAGGTGTGATCAAGTGTTGTGTAAATGAATTGGAAGCCTTATCTGTTCTATTTTCCCTAGCTGTACCTTGTAATAATGCTAAAGGAATATAATCTTCCGGTTCCCACTCCTGGATATTGTTTTCAGTATTTTGCGCTGTCGTCGTTTCAGGTGGACGGTCTGTTGGTAAACTGTGACACTTTTGTCCATGGGCTGAAGCTCATGGGTGGTATTGCTAGGCAAACATAGCAAATGTATGCCCAGTTCTTGTGCTTTGTCTGCAATTGAAACGTCTAAGTGTGAAGCAGCCCCATCGAAAATTAAGTGAACCGGACGTTCAGACATATATTTTGCAAAGTGGTCTAGCCATTGTATGAAGATTGTGGTAGTCATGCTTCCTTTGAGTGTCATCGCTACTGCAGAACCATGAGGTAAACCGTCCTTAAAAGTTGGCTTCAACCTCTGACCTTTGAATAAGATCATGGGTGGGATAGCATTTCCTACAGCATTCGCGCATGATACTACTGTTGCGTTTTCTGCGTGCTCCGGTGCTACAAGATGAACACGTTTAGCTCCTTTGAGCCAATACAGTTTGTTGGCGATGGAGGGTTAATCTGCACCCTTTCTCGTCCATATTATAAATTTTTGATGGTTCATTCTTCAGTCCAGTTTCAGTCAGGATATTCGATAATTTATTAAAATAGTCGTTCACAATAGTTGGGTTCAGCTTCTGGGCCCTTGCCGGATTCATAGACTGTGCTTTTCTAAGTGATAAACGGGGGTGTCGTTTCATAAAAGCCCTGTACCAATCTCTGCCCGCGGCTTTTTTGTACTTATTGAACTTATGTGGTATTTTCTTGTCTTCTACATATTTGTAAACACACCTGCAAACCCTTTTTGGTGTCAGGGGAAATCCTCTGTCGGCAAAACGAATTATTTTTTCTTCCAAATCATCTTCTTGACTGGTAAGGATAGCCTTTCCACCCAGTTTTCGTATGGAGGTGCCAGTCTTCATATGATTGCGTAGTGTTCTTCTTGGTATTCCGCATCGTTGCTCGACATACCTTTGCGATTCACCTTTTCTCAGCAAAGACATTGCTTCCTCCATCATTTCCTGCGTCCAATTAGCACGCATACCACGGCATTTTTTCCCCATTTCTATAAAAGGCGAGAAAAACAAATGTTACACTATTACCATTCCTTATTACAGTTGCGGGTCATAAGGCCCAGCCAAGAATTCGGTGGGCTTTATCACCCGCACCGCACGGTTTTACATTTTTAGGTTATAAACACCATAAACTATCAATAATCAATTTGAAAACTTAGAAGAGAGGTTCTAAATAGTCACTAACTACATACCTGCAATTTGGAGTATACACGTACACTCTAATGTAGACGTTAAAACAACGAAAGTAACAGATTTCTTATAAAATCTACACAAAGCCAACTTCCCCAACCAACTTTTAAGTCCAACTGCCATATGTATTCGCCATGTCCAGAGCTGATTACTATACGTATTCAGGTTAACATACGCGCTAATAGATGGCAGAACTTTGCACTTTTCTCATTTTGTTTTCGTTAAACATTCTATGGGCATTATTACCCTCCTGGGCCTTAACACCCCCGGACACCTTAATGTTCCACTTGGAGGTACACAGGAAGCACGCTATCATTGTGAAACTCACAGGCAAAATGGATGCCGGCGACCGGGTCGGCTCAGGTCGGCTTGCCATTATGCCATTGGTCGCTCTGGGTCACACGCACATTTTCTAAATAATGGCGGTTTAATATTTTCCATTGATTGAAAAGTAAACATTTAATGAATATTATAAAAGAAATATTGTATTTAAAATATTTAAAATATATTGAATAAATATTTAATAAAAATACTATATTCCAAATATTCATTAAATATTGGTTTAAGAGAACAAATATTTAAGTAAGATAAAAATATTATTCAGTATTTAATAAATATTTAATGGACATTTCGTGCTATAGGGGTAACTTCCATTTGCCTTGTTTTCTGGGTGTTCAAATAATTTTGATCGGTAGTGTATAGGAAATAGAGAAATAGTATTGACGTATTCTCACAGCTGACGCTACGGTATTAATTCTTTGGACGCGCAAATATAGCGTTAGGTTGGTTATCTACAGGTAGAACTCGTTAATAAATGATACAAGTGAGTACGTGGACCGCAAACAAGTCTATTGACGACTACAAAACGTCTAGATGACAAGTAAGCTTGTATTATTTTTTTGTACAGCTACACGTGAAGGTCTAGTGATTTAACACGTAACAACGACAAGTTGTACAAATGCATCTCGGTACAAACAGACTTTAACGGTAATGTATTAAAGCAGAATGAACATCGTGAGCTATTTGATGCATAACTATAAGAATAACGTTTTACCAAACTGAATTGATTCATTGTATTAATTTTGTAAATAAACTTGGTGTAATTATTTATTGAATATGGAACGATATTTTATAACTTCCATAGGTAATATCTGAAATAACATTTCCTGCATTATATTCGTTTCCCAGTTGTTAATTATATATTTTTTTACATGAATAAACGTATTTATGAAGCCGTAGCGTTTTATTTTCCAAAAGATTATGAAGAATTTTTCTAATTGCTCTAAATGTTTCTTAATGGCTGTATAAAATAGTTAAACGGCACATTAGCGTTTTGAGAGTGGGGTCATTACCATTTAATGACTTTACAAATTGTTCTGCTCTATCAATTTTGATTACAAATGCAAATTAATGAACTGAATTTGAATGACTTAGGTACCTGCTAATCACGCATCAAAAAAAAGTTTCGGTAGGTACAGCCAAACAATGTTTATCACAATTCGGATTGGTTCAAGAATTGTAATTTTTCTTCAAATTGTTCTGCTCTATCAGTTTTGATTACAAATGCAAATTAATGAACTGAATTTGAATGACTTAGGTACCTGCTAATCACGTATCAAAAAAAAGTTTCGGTAGGTACAGGCAAACAATGTTTATCACAATTCGGATTGGTTCAAGAATTGTAATTTTTCTTGAAATTGTTCTGCTCTATCAGTTTTGATTACAAATGCAAATTAATGAACTGAATTTGAATGACTTGGGTACCTGCTAATCACGTATCAAAAAAAAAGTTTCGGTAGGTACAGGCAAACAATGTTTATCACAATTCGGATTGGTTTAAGAATTGTAATTTTTCTACTAGTACTATACTACAACTATTTAAAACTGTAATGACTCATACGCGTGATCAACACGTGATCAGAGCTCGATCCCGGCTTCCTTCCAGTACAGCCGTATAGCGTACGACATATCTCGTTTCTGTGGCTTTGCGGTCGTCAACAGCACAGACAGAGATGGAAATAATGGCTGATTGTTCTCCGCCGGTAGAACCAATGAAATCAAAGACGCGCCTCGACCGGCAGACTCATAGGCGTCGGCAACGCATTGGAACGTGTTTCGTTGAGCGATCGCGTATTGTGTGTTTTTATAAGTATTGTGTGATTGTTACTGTTGTGGTTTTTGTGGTTACTGTTTTGGTTATACTTAACCATGGAGAGTACAAATGGCACGAGTGGAAGTACTGAAAGCCAGGGAACAAGTAGACGGCTTCGTAAAGCACTGAAGAGGGACGCGAAAGAAATCGTGTTCAATTATCTGAACAGAACTATGTCGCAGGGAGATGCACTCGCGCGTTGTGAAAGTATGACAGGCGTTCCAGAGTGGACCATTCGCAGGATGGTGTATGAAAAGAAGAAAACTGGAGCTACTACTGATCCAAAGTTTAATTTGAAGGGACGAAAGGCCGTTAAATTGGATGACGATAGCAAAATGGCGTTAAAGCGAACCGTACATTCATTCTTCTTTAGGAATGAGATACCAACCCTTATGGCTGTACATACAGCGATCAAGGAAAATGAAATTATACCCCAAATGAGCGTCGAGGTAATGAGGAAATCCCTGTACGAAATTAATTTTCGTTACGAAACGCGTAATCGGAAGTCAGTATTGATAGAGAGACCTGAAATAGTCGCCTGGCGTCGAAAATACCTACGCGAAATGATTGAATATAGGAGACAAAGCAGAAAAATCTATTATTTGGACGAGACATGGGTAAATGCAGGTCACACAGTTAAAAAAACCTGGATAGACAAAAACGTAGTGAGTAACCGACAAGCAAGCATTGAAGGTTTGTCAACAGGTCTTCGTGGACCGTCAGGGAAAGGTCAGAGATTGATCGTAACTCATATTGGTAGCGATAGTGGCTTTTTAGAACAGTGTGACTTGATTTTCGTCTCTAAGAAAGGAGGTGATTACCATGACGAAATGAATGCCAGCTGCTTTCAAGGGGTGCTTCAGCGAGTTGAGCCCAACTCTGTGATCGTCATGGATAATGCTTCCTACCATAGTCGTCGAGCCGAACGTGTACCGACTATGGGATCTCGAAAAAGTGACATGCAGCAATGGTTGCGCGAAAAAGGAATCCCGTTTGACGATTAATGTGTGAAAGCGGAATTGTATGAAAAAATTAAACAGCACAAACCTGCGAACATTAGTTACGTGACTGATGAGATGGCCCGTCAATGTGGTGTCACTGTGCTGCGGTTACCGCCCTACCACTGTGAACTGAACCCAATAGAGCTCATCTGGGCTCAAGTGAAGGGTTATATTGCGCGCCATAACACAACCTTCAAATTACCAGACGTTAAGGTTTTACTTGAGACTTCCATACAGCTAGTAACGCCCGAAGCTTGGCAGAATGCTATCCGTCATGTTGTGAAGGAAGAAACAAAAATGTGGCAGCTTGACCACCACATCGACACCATCATAGAGCCAGTTATAGTCAATTTCAACGAAGAACGCGATAGCGACAGTTTATTACTGTCAGATGTAAGTGGAAGCGACGATGAATAAAGGTAATTCCCAAATTTTTGACTTACAATATGTTTCAAACCACTCGTTATTAAGCATGTGACAAATCTAGTTCACCCATGTTAAACATTCATACCCTGCCTATGAACAGCCGACTACTGGTAGTTAAGTGATGTTCACGTGAACATCGATGAGTCATTACAGTTTTAGATAGTTATAGTATAGTAGTATTAATTTTGCAGCTTAAATGCACATATTGTATCCTATTAGTACCGTATCATCAGCATGAATTTTGCTGGGGCCGATACTACATGGTACAGGGGCGCACCCAGCTCAAAACGAAAGACAATTTTTTTTGTTCCACAAATCATATCTACTTAACTATGCTTCATATTTTTCTTTCTACAGGGTGGCCAATATAAAACTGACTGATTTAAATTGCGCGTCATTTTTGATATATACGCAAGCTGAACATCCAGAAGTGGAAGAAGCTTTGTACATGTGGTTTCTCCAGGAAAGAAATAGGCATGAACCCATGTTGTCCATGAAAGCTAAGTTTTTTTATAAGGAAATAACAAAAAAAGATGATTTTGTGGCCGGCAAAGGATGGCTAAAACGTTTTAAAAGTCGTCATGGCATACGTTTAATGAGTATTACAGGAGAGAAGCTTCCTAATGATGCCACTTGCATAGAGCCCTTTAAATTAAGATTTTTGCAAAAGGTGAACGATTTAAATCTTGACCCGTCACAGGTGTACAATGCAGACGAATCAGGACTTTTTTGGCGTGTGATGCCTAACAAAACTTTCGTTTCTTGTAACGAAAAATCCGTACCTGGATGAAAAGTAGGTAAAGATTGTAACCATACTACCATGTGCTAACGCTGCGGGCACACACGTGCTTAAGATGATAGTCATTGGGAAATCTAATAAACCACGGGCATTCAAAAACATTGATTTACCTGTACACTATTACGGACAAAAAAGTGAATGGATGACAAAAGACCTTTACAAAAAGTGGTTTGATGAATGCTTCGTACCTGAGGTTAGAAAATGGTTAAAAGATCATAATTTTTCTCAAAAAGCGGTGTTGCTTCTTGATAACGCTCCCGGTCATCCGTCTGAAGAAGAACTAACAGCTAAGGATAAATGCATCACTGCGATGTTTCTTCCGCCAAATTGCACTGCACTGATTCAACCAATGGACCAGAATATCATTCAGTTTGTCAAGCAAGACTATAAGAAAAACCTACTTCTGAGAGCCGTATCAAAAGACCAACCAATAGAAAAAACTTTAAAAGAATTTAATATGAATGACTTGGTTTTTGCTCTTTGTCAGTCAAGGAATGCGTTACCGTCATCAAGTATTAAATCGTCTTGGAAAAGTTATGGCCAGATATAGTCACCACTCCTAGCAACGTTCCACAAATCAGTGTAACTTCGGAAGTTATAGAACAAGTCGCTACTGAAACACAGATAAGTCCGGAAAGATAAGTTTGGAAATCTGGTGTCGTGGAATGGATAAAGAGGAAAATGTTTTTCATGAAATGTCTGACGAAGATATTATAAAAGAGGTTTCTAATTATACAACAAACAA